CGCGGGCCCCTCGCGGGGAGAGGGGGGGGGGGGGGGGGGGGGGGCAGGCTACAGGTGTCCCCTCCCAGTTGGTGCCCAGGGCTAGTCCCCTGCTCACCCTGGCCTTGCCACTGCTTACTACCCCCAGAGACCTGGGGAAGCAGCTAAGGACTTCCCACCCGCTTCCCTGGGGGTCCCCGGGCTCATAGGCCAGCTTCTTTAGTGGCTTCTTTGCTATTGCGGCCACAATCAACAGACAAGTGGTGACCCCACTCCTGCCAACAGGCACCAACTCCTGTCAGGGCATGGGGCTGGGTAGCACCAGCTCTGGAAAAGGCAGGCAGTGCAGGCACCAGCAGCAGCAGTGACCTCTCTGAGTCAAGTTTCTCAAGCCAAACAACAACCGACCTGGACTGCACCAGTGCCAGCTCAGCCTGTACTAGCACCAGCGCCAGCATTTGACAACAGCAGTTGCTGGCACAGGAATGCTGCCCTGGCAGCTGCTGGCACCTGGCTGGGCCTAGTCCTATGGCTCCTGGCTGGCATGGTGAGGGTCCAACCAGGCCCCAGTGGGCCCAGCTCCCTAACTCCCTTCTGGCCTGGTGAGGACCCACTGGGCCTGACTCCAGTTTAGGCTCTCCTGGGCTCAGCTTGGCAAGGGTGTAGCCAGGGCCCCCTGGGCCCAGCCCCCTGGTACCTCTCCGGCCTGGTGAGGCACCTTACAGGGCTGCTGGAGCAGAGTGTGATACTGTCGAGGGCACAGACCCCTGAGCAGCTCAGCCTGCTGGCACCCAGCTCAGCCTCTTCTGCTGGACTCAGGAAAGGCTCCACTATCCCCTATGCAACCCATGGCAGCTGAATGGTGACCAAGGACTCCTGACTGCTGGGTCCAGGGAAAGACTGATTTAGGCTGTGCTGCAGCACTGGATTGGGGTCTAAGGGGTTAGACAGTCTCTGGGCATGGAAGATGTCCACTGCTCTCGCAAGTGGCCAGGTGCTGGCAGGGCTGACCCAGCTGCAGGTCTGGCCTGGGTCCCTGCCTGCGGGCCCCACCAGCTGGTCTCCCAGGTGCTAAGTCACGCTGTGCCAGTGGCACTGGTTTCACCTGCTTTGGTTGTCTGGTGCTGCCATGGTCTGGCCCAGCCTGGCAGTTCCCTGGAGGGGGCAAGTGGGCACAGCCCTGTCTCAGCACTGTGTCCCTGCTCTGCCCAGGGGCCCTGATGGGCATTGGAGATGTGGTCTCTCAGCAGCTGGTAGAGCAGAAAGGCCTGAGGAGGCACAGTGGCCGCAGGACCCTGAGGATGATGGCAATCGGCTTCTGCTTTGTGGTGAGTGCCCAGCCCAGCCTCGCGGTGCAACCCTGTGCAGAGCTGTGGCCAGAGACCCCACCAGGGCTTCAGGACCAGGGCCTCTGGCACGGGCTCTGCCAGGCTTGCAGGGGGTGAGGGGGACAAGCAAAGTCTCCAGAGCTGGGGAGGAGTCCATGCCTCTTGCTGCCCACTGGCATGGGCCACTGACATATCTCCTGCAGCTGGCCCCTGTGCCAGGCACTGAGCAGAGAGAGGCCTGTGCAAGAAGCCTGCTCCCTGCTGTGCCACTCGGACACCTAGCAGCCTTGTTCCCCAGGGCTGGAACAGCTCTCAGCTTTCTTCTGGGAGCCTGGACCAGCCAGCCACCTCCATGGGCAGTGCTAGCCCCTGTGGGTGCCCCGGTCCCCACCCCACTCCCTGCTCCTGCCAGGCAGCAGCTCCAGTGTGAGCTTGGCTCTTTCTGGCTCCCAGCTGCTCCCACTTCACCCTGCTGCCCTGGGGCTCTGCACTGGGAGCTGCCTGCCTGCCCCATCTTGCTGTGGCGCTCCCCAGCTCGCTGCCTTTGCAGTAGAGAGTGGCTGGGAGCAGTGCTAGCCAGGCAGCCTCTGCCCCCCTTCCTGCTCCCAAGACACCCCATCCCCAGGACAGTGTCCCCCTGCAGACAGGCGTATGGGGCAGGCAGCACCTGTGGGACCCAGCTGGGTGACCAGGGCAGGGCCACATTGCCAGGGCACAGAGCATGTCAGAGCCACCAGCCACAACTAGAGGAGCCGGGGACCAGGGTACCCAGCTCACAGCTTACAAGCTATATCCCTTCACCAGGGCCCTGCCATGGGGCAGGACAGGAACCAGCTGGAGGGAGTGTGTCGGGGGGTACCCTCTGGCTGTCCCCAGGGACCTTCCTGCTGCAGAGGCTGCTTGCCCTGGCTGTGCCCATGGCAGGGCCTGGCAGTCCATCCACAGGCCCTGGCTGTAGCACCAGGAGCTATGAGTGCAGACAGAAACGCATGGCCCAAGCTGGTGCCCTCCCCTGCCCCTTGGCAATGGTGCAGAGCCCTCTGACCCCCAGCTCCCCACAGGGCCCCGTGGTGGGAGGCTGGTACAAGCTGTTGGATCGGCTTGTCCTTGGCACCACGAAGACAGCGGCCGTGAAGAAGATGGTGCTGGACCAGGTGGGTGCTGCCTTCATGGGGAGAGGCAGGGCTGGTGTGCATGGAGCAGAGGTGGGCATTGCTGTGACTCGTGTGTGCAGGTGCCAGGTGTCCTCTGGGCTTGGGCAGGGCCCAGCCTCAGTCCCCCACTGTGAGCCTCACAGCCCCCCTGGCACTTGGGGCATCAGTTCCCTGTGGTTCAAATGCTCAGCACAGCAGGTCCTGCACTCCCTTCTACTCTAGCCAAGTCCTTGGGGCTGTGCTGGGGGCAGGGGGCTGGACCCAGCCCTTTTCCATTCAGCCCCACAGGTGCTGAGGCTGGGTGGCCGCAGTGCCCTGCCCGTCCTTGTCCTCTGTAGGGGCAGCCCAAGCGCTGTGGGGCCATTCCCTGCCCTTGGCAATGCACGCCCTGTCCCCACAAAGTGCAGGGAAGACCCCAGTGGGAGTAAGGGGGAGGCTCAGCAGGGGCAGCCCTTGGTCCCACAGGAGCAGGTGCTGGACTCTGGTCCCATGGGTGAGGGTGCATCAGGCACTGCTGTTGAACTGCCTCTCCCAAAGCCACTTCCATGATGGCTCAGGCCTCAGGGCCCCCAAAACCAGTGCAAGCACCTCTGCTAGGGCTGATGAGCCACATGTGCTTAGCCTGAGGCAGCCCCCTCACTCCCCCCACCGCAGTGCTCCACGGATCCCCATTACCCGTCTGCAGGGGGTGGGGCCAGGGCACAGGGGTGCTCTGGGCCAGCCCTGCCCTGTGGCACTCACCCACTTCCTCCGCAGGCTGGCTTCGCCCCGATCTTCCTCGGCAGCTTCCTTGCCGTCGCTGGTGCAGTCAACAGTCTGTCTGCAAAAGAGAACTGGGAAAAGATCCAGCGAGTGAGTCCCTGGGGCTGTGCTGGGGGCAAAGGGCTGGGCCCAGCCCCTTTTCATTCAGTCCCACAGGTGCTGAGGCAGAGTGGCCGCAGTGCTCTGTCCATCCCTGTCCTCTGCAGAGGCAGCCTGACCACTGCAGGGCCATTCCCTGACCTTGGCAATGCGGACTAGGAGGTCCCGTCCCCGTAGTGCAGGGAAGGCCCCAGTGGGGGTAATGGGGAGGCTCAGCAGGGGCATCCTTTGGCCCCATAGCAGCAGGGACAGGTGCTGGGCATTGGTCCCATGGGTGAGGGTGTGCCAGGCACTGCTATTGGCTGCCTCTGCCAAAGCCATTACTGTGATGGCTCAGGCCTCCAGGTCTCCCAAAACCAACGCAAGCGGCTGAGTCAGTGAGTCTGGGTGTGATTCACGGCGGGAACAGGTGACCCTGGTGTGAGTCATAGGGCCAACAGTGTCTGTCCCTCCTGGCATGGCGGGAGAGTGGGCCTCCCTGCCTGCGCCCTACAGCCCAGCACCCCCCAGTGGAGTGGACTGCCCCCAACCTGCCCTGCCAGGACAGCATCCCCCCTTGGCTGCTGCAGCAGGCAGGCAATGGGCATCAGTGCCCTGGCTGGCTGCAGGCTAGTGAGCACAGCTGTCCAGGGCACTTGTCCACTGAGAGCTGTGGGCAGAGTCCCCATGTCCCCAGGGGGGCCTGCCACTCCTACATGCACTCGTTGGCAGTGTAGGGGAGCTGAGGTCCTGCCTGCTGCACAGAGCAGCCAAACCTGCAGGCAGATGGCCTGCCTTGCATGGGGGTTGCAGGGCCAGGGCGGTCCATCTTTACCCTCTGCCCTGGGGCATGACCCTCTGGGGCTGGGCTGTGCTGGGTTGGACAGGGGACTTCAGGGCAGGGCATCCCCCGCACCCAGGTCTAATCATGGCCCCCAGGTGCCAGGTACTTGGGAATGACCCGTTCCTGCCCATGGCTCTTACACCCCCATCCAGAATCCAGGCCTGGGTACCGAGAGCTGGGGGCTTGGCCCACACAGCACAGGGGGTGGGGGGCACTTTGCTTGCCACAGGCTGTGTGGCAGCTGCAGCCACGCCATTCATTGGGGGCCATAGCAGGAGCCCTCATCCCCCACGTGATCTCTGCAGGCCCCTGGCCTTGGGCCCAAGGGGGGCAGGGCTTGCCCAAGGGGCCACGTGAGCACTGACCTGCCCTTCTCTGCCTGCAGGACTATGCTGATGCCCTTGTCACCAACTACTATGTAAGTGCCTGGGGGAGAGGAGGGGGGTTGCGCCCAGGTGATCATGGTACAAGTGCTTAGATCTGCACAGCAGGAGACTGAAAGCTGTGCCCCCACTGATGCACACTGGTTTCCAGTGGGCTGGCAGTGCACCCCCTGCGCTGTCACATGCAAGGCCCAGCCCACCTTGGGGCTCATGCTTAGGCAGCCAGAACTCCCCACCCCCGCTGGCCCCCAGTGGGCCTCCTGCCCACTGCCCCTATCACTGGTCTCCCAGCAGAAGCTTGCAGTGGGCTTTCCCCAAATCCGGTGGGGGGTCCAGGGAGGTGGGGTAGGAGCCAGTGCTGGGGTGGGGGAAATGGGCAGGAGGGGAAGGGTATGTGGCCGCAGCCCTGCCCTGCCCCAGGTAGGGTGAAGGCCTCCATACTCCTCACCCGCTATGCCTCTCTCCCAGATCTGGCCGGCAGTGCAGGTTGCCAACTTCTACTTCATCCCCCTGAACTACAGGTATGAGCAGGTCACACTGCACCCTCCCACTGCTGGTCCAGCACCCTCCTAGCCCAGGTGCCTTCCCCTTCCTGCACCCCCTGGCCCTGTCCCGGCCTCCAGGCAGAACAACCCCCACACATCCAGCTCCCCTACCCAGCCCAAAGACCCCAGCATGCCTTGTACCCCGTGCAAGTCCCCCCACAACTGCCCCTCCTTCCACTGGCCCAGCACTTCCCAGTTGCCCCTGTGCCCCTGGCCTCCGGCACTATGACCCTTGGGCTGTTGCTCCTTGGACCCCCCAAACCATGCCCCAAGCCCTGTGCTCTAGCCTACATGGGGGGAGGGTGGTGTCCTGGCACCTACTGTACCCCCTCCTGCCCCTGCCCCTGCCCCTGCCCCAGGGAGATGTTACATCCTGAGTGGGGGTGGCTTGGGCTTGTCCCACTGGGAGCCTGGACTGTTGCCTGGGCTGGGGAGAGGGACCCTGACCCTTGGGATATCAGGGCAGAAGACTGGACCCCTCCCCACCAGCTCCCCTCCCTGCATGGGCTGGCTTCCCCAGGACCCCAGGTTGCTGATCTGACATAGGACTGCCCCACTCTGATCTCTTGGCCCCTCCTGTCTGCCCTCAGGCTAGCCGTGGTGCAGTGTGTTGCCATCGTCTGGAACTCCTACCTCTCCTGGAAGGCGAACCAGCCATGAGCCCCCAACACATCCCACATCGCTGCCCATGCTTCTCCGGTGACCCCATGGCCTGGGTCCCACTCCCTCTCCCACCATGCTATGCTGGTCCTCAGGGGTCATCCACAGCACGGAAGGGGCTGGGAGCCCCATCGCAAGGCCACCCCAGCCAGACTCAGCAAAGAGGCAGCACAGGGCCCAAGGTGTGGCACCACGACTGCCCCAGCACAGGCCTGGCCCCAGCCCCGACTGAGACCAAATCATGCTGTGGAGGGAGCTGTGCTGCCCCACCAGCCCCTCCATCCCTCCATCCAGGGCCATGCTGGGACAGCCCCACTGGGGACAATAAAATGTGGTGGATGAGTGCTGGGTTCCTGTCCCTGCGTCCACCCTGGGAGTGTCATGAACTGTATGCAGACCCTGCAGGGAAGGGGCTGGGTGCTGCCAAGGCTTTTGGAGACCTGGTCCCCTCCAGCTCCAGGCATCATGCACAGGGGGACACGGCGGGTGCAAGCAGGTGTCCCACTCCCTGTTCCCGCTGACATGGCACTGCAAGACAGGGCTCAGGGCGTCACAGCTGGGGCGCGGGTGGCCGTGGGAGTCCCTTCTTCCGTGCCTGCTGTGGACCACTGGGCGCGTGTCCAGCGCCGCACCCCGCGCAGCCCCGGTCGTGGCGGGGGACAGGGGGGCACCCAGGCCAGGCGTGGGGTGGAGCTGTGCTGGCCGGGGTGGGGCCGGGCCGGGAGGGGATGGGGGGTG